AAATAGTGTAGATTAGCCGGAATCCATGTGGGTTTGTAGAGTGGGTCCGAGTGTAGCGAATCAGCCTCGAAGAGAACCATATATTCGGTTGGCGTATTCGGCATCTGCTTTACAACATCGACAAACATTTCTAACTCTCTCCGACTGAATGACATTATGTTGCGTCGAATAAGACGCTCGGGCTCATCGCAGTTTTGACCTTTCCAGCCAAACCAACACTGCTCACAGGCAATTCCAAACCGGTTGCCCTCGCAACGGCACATCCGACGAAAAAACCTCTCCGGCCAGTTCATCCGATCATCTAGACTTAGCTCGGGAGCCGGAAGTTGATCGGCTTGGATGTAAACCTGCGAGCACTTTCCGATGCCATTTCCCCCACAGGTCTCCGTGTAGCCAGCCGGTGCAGGGCAGCAAATGCCACTGCCACCGGTGGCTGAGATGTTATGGACACAAATATGGGGCATGAAGGCACAAACGTTCGGCAAATTCTGGACCATAAATAAAAGTAGGAAAGAATGCACAAGACATAGTGAGGAAGCCGAGCTGGATAGCTCATGTAGTCTGGAAAACATATTTTGAGCAAAATTGTTTTGCCAAGCGTAAAGTATTACTGAGCCTAATCCAGAAACCTTTCGCTTGTGTAGCTTTTTCCACAATCCCGGAACGTGACCGCAATTTAAAGTATTATTCCCGATTTATTTACTTCTATCATTCTCTCCTTTTGCCTTTTGATATCAAACTCAATAAAGCGGATAGATCAACTGCGCAGTCGATTTCGAATATCATAGATAAATTATAGCAAAAGACCAATTTTCCAGTGACTTTCATGATCTGTTCAAGTAAAAAGCTCAAGTTTTACCGAGCGAGTCAAAAGGCTTGGATCAATGGTTAAAGTATACACTCTCTCACCCTTAATCTAGTCAGGCAGGCTGATCGTAGCCAGTGTAAAAAACGTTTACATAGAGCGTCGCAGATGGCAGGATTACAAATCAATTTTGATGCTCAAGTTGAGCAGCTAGGCCAAATTGAGTGCACTCAATAGTCCAAATCTTCCAAACCAGTAGTTATAACTCTATCTTACAGCAAACCCATTTATCCTATTGATTGTCCTCGTGAAAGCGCCCTTTATTTATAATATAAATTCATCAGGATCTAGCATGCTTGTTCTTCTCCATTGGCAAGAATTGTTAAGTTAATGTGGGCATCGCATATTTCGCAATTAAAGTGACATCCAAAGGTTGTTTGACCTTGTTTTCGCAACTTAGTCATATGTGTAGGAAGACTTAGAGGAACGCACCTAGTCCGGAGTCCATTGTATGCATAATACTTTCCAAAGTTGGACCCTAGACGTGGTACATTCCCAGACGTTTCGCCGGCATCGTAGTCGGCATCGTCAGTGAATATGACCATTCTTAGCGCCATATAACAACTCGTCAAAAGAGACTAGTAAGCCTATCCTTTGACCAAACGTGTGCT